ACTGACAGTAACCAGGGTGATGCAGAGACAAATGTAGAGACTGTAAACATGATTGAGTACCTACCCATATCTACTGAAAGACTGTCTAATCCAAGGAGCAACGAGAGAGGATGTTAAGCTGCAGAATCTGAAAAAACTGATGCTCCCTGTTTGTTTGAAGGACAAAAACGACATTACACGGGACATTCAGCACTATTTTGCATTTCGGGATGAGCTGAGCTTCCAGGATGGTATCGTGTTCTGGGGAGAAAGGGCAGTTATTCTGGACGCGCTCAGGGCAGATCTCACCCACCGTGTACATTCATCACATCTGGGAGTCGAAGGATGTCTCAGACGAGCACGTAAATGTGTGTACTGGCGGGATGAACAAACACATAAAAACATCAATTTCCAAATGTGATATCTGCAGGGCAGTGGACCCCAAGCAGCAGAAGGGGACATTACATCCCCATGACATTACCAACAGACCCTGGGCTAAGGTAGGAATTGACTTGTTCACATGGCACAACAAAAATTATATGGTGACGGTAGACTATTATTCAAACTTCTGGGAAGTTGACTACCTACCAGACACTAGAAGTATGACAGTCATCCACAAGTTGAAAGCACATTTTGCTCAACAAGGAATACCAGATGGACCGGACAATGGACCACAGTACACATCAAAGGAGTTTGAACAATTCAGTAATAAGTGGGAATTTGAGCATAGAGCATCTTCACCAGGGCACCCACAGAGCAATGGGAAGGCCGAGTCTGCTGTTAAAACAGTGAAACGCCTCATGCAGAAAGCTGCTGCAGCAGGACAGGGCCCTTATTTGGCGATACTGGACCATCGCAACACACCAAGCCAGGGACTCAACTCTAGTCCAGCACAGAGACTTTTGAGTAGGAGGACACGGACCCTTCTGCCTACAAAGGAGTCGCTGTTGACACCTAAGGTGACAAACGACAAACAGAGACTGATCCGTGACAAACAAAGAAGAGATACTATAATCACACAGTCAGAGACTTGGACTGCCTCAAGGCGGGGGACATGGTGAGAGTCCAACTGTTTGAGCCTTGTAAAGCCTGGAAAGTGGCCAAGGTGCTCAGACCAGTGAGCCCTGGGTCTTATGAGGTCGAAATGGAGTCAGGAGTCTGACGGTTTCTCCGCAGGATGACACAACCATGGCACACCTGCACCAAGTGCAGACACAAAGTGTGGTACACCCTGAACATTCACATATCCCTGTTACTACGAGGTCGCCCTGGAGTCAGCATCAGATTGAACAGAAGTCAATGTCATTTAACTGAAATGATCCATTCAGTGCCATAACTCCCCCTGTGTATTTGCGGTTCTTGACATCCACGTGGTCTCTTCAAGCTGTTCACTGTATTACATTACATTTTGCTTTGCGAATCTGGCTATACTGAATCTTTCTATAAGGCCTTGGAGCACTGGTGACTCAGCAAATACATCTGAAATCAGCCATTGTTGCTGCTTCCAAACACAGCTGCCTCTCCTCTTGTAGAATTCAAGTCGTCTCTCAGCTTCCAAACACCCACAGTTACTGTACATACCCCTTCCCCTGCCAGTTCATTTTCCATCCTTCCATCAACCCTGGCTTCTCTCTCCTGGGAAATACATGAGAGGAGCCTTTATATTTGTTAGATGACTAAGTGTGAGTGTAGCACTGAAAGACTGTGTCTGTGGGTGTGTGTGTGTCTGTGCTAGTGCCTAGGCTTATGCTATCATGCAAAAGAGTACATTAAATTTGTTTATGTACCTCCCCTTATGTTCACCAGCATGCATGTTTTATAATGGATAGGTGACACCTTCAAAACAACATTTTAGCTCCAAACCCACTGACCTCTCTCTCCCTCTAACCAGCATGAAGTTAAGCATTCCAAACAGCAATCCAATAAACTTCCACTGGCTGCAGAGAAATCGCTCAGTTGAAAGGCTGTTAACTAGACTTGGCATTCTTTCCAAAAGTGTAATTATGGTGTACACACACACACACACAGGGAGAGGGAGAGAGAGCCAAGCATTTGCAAGAGTACCACAACGGCAGACTGTCAATCATGTGTATTTTAAGCTAAAAGGTGTCAGGTCCGCTCGGCGCAACCTGCCTCTCTTCCACCTTTCTCTCCTCTGCTCTCTCGACCTGCGGGCTCTGCACCTCAGCTGTGTTGCATTCCAGTAATTAGCGACTCGTTTGTGGGTGCGCACAGCTGGGGTGCATCCCGATGATTACCTGTCCTCCTTATTTATACCTCTGGCAGACGCTCTGTAATCGCCGGAGCATTTGCATTACCTTACCTAACTCGCATACCCCGTAACAGACATAATTTCATGGTATGTATTATACATCATTTTGTTATCCACGCCGACAGTTCCAGTGCTGTGGATTTCCATTTTCGTTCGCCGACCCTCCTGGTTGGCTTGTCTGTTCCCTTGTCCGTTCTGATCCTCCTCCTCTCCTGGTTCTTGCCGTTACCCTGTCTACTCCCTTGGTCGTCCTGTTCTCCTCAGCCGTCTTTGCTCAGTCCTGTTGTATGTATTCATTGACTCTATTCCTTTTGTATGCCCACCATTAAACCACCTTTTTACTAGCACCTGGGTCAGCGGTCTTGAGTCCAACCTCAGCTCTCCCTCACCCTCCTGGTGAGGGGGACTAACCATAACACAGACGAGGACACTCACACAGGCACTAGGCCATGCAGACACACATAAACATTGAGGGAATGAATTTAACCAGCTTATTTTCCCCCTTCAATACACTTAAACATAAGAGAAGCAAGCAACCTCTTATGAACCATATGTTTCATTGTTTAGCAGTATCTTGCAGCCATGTGAGACTGCATCAGTCTTTTCAGTAAAAGCAACAAAATGACATTTATGTTCAAGTGACAAAGCCCTCTAGGCACTGGTGAGCTGCATATCTGTGAAGGTACCATCGACGCAGAGGCGTATGATGGGATTTTAGAGAGACATGCTGCCATCAAGGCATCGTCTTTTCCCTGGAAGTCTGTGGAAACCCATTATATTTAATGCCACCAAGCAAAGCTCAGTGCAGCGTAGCATGCACAGGTCAAAGTTCAACCTAGTTGAATTTTGACCTCTGTGCAGCTGATATATGTCGCTCTAATAATACATTCATGGTCTGAATTATCAGAGTTATATGACCCAGTTTACATTAGTATAAAGACCCCAGGAGGAAAGTCATGGAGAAAGAGAACAAGTGTGGATGTGTGTACTCAGGAGCTAATCTCCCTGTTTGCTTTATCATATCAGCAACACAAAAAACACAGCAAATGAGCAGTCCAGAGCTGCACCTATTACTGAATGTTTTTAATTGCAGTACATGTTTGTCAGATAGCAACAGATTAAGACAGAATTGTGAAACTATAGTGCAATATTTGTCTTAAAGTCTCAAAGAGCTGCTAGCAGAATGGTGTATTAACACCCACAGAAATAAAATTCTTGTGGAAACGTTTCCAAAGATACTAAATATGTATATGTATAGGCTCAGTTTTAGGTTCATGTTTAGGCCCATTTGGGACCATTTCATGCTTTTCTTAGAAGCAGCTGTGTGAAGGTCAGAGGAGAAAAATTTCACCAGAAGTGGATTTCACATTCAGTGGTCCTCCAAACACAAAACCAAAAGAATTTTGGATAAAAATAATTATAAAAAAATTTATTTAAATGCTGCAATTCTTTTTAAAGGTCATGGTTAGAATTGTCACTGTAAATACCATAAAGCTGGAACACGCCAAAATAGATATAGTAGTGCAAGATTACAGTGTTTCTCACTAAAACACACCAAACGTGTCAAGTATATTTTCTACCTTGTAAAAAACATTTGAAAATCTGATTCTTATCATTCTTTACAACATTAGCATTCATTTAAAATCCTGTTTGTGTTCATCTAACGAAGGAAAGCCCAACATTTGTTTTCATGTCTCTATCCACTAATCTCCCAAGGAATATTTAAATGCTAGTTGCTAACTTTATCTGTCTGCTGCTTGGTTTGGTTTTTAGAGGCTTTTTGCTAAAACAGCTGCCTGTCTTGTCTGGAAATAACACTGATGAGAGCAGTGAGCGTGAACCAAACCAGTAAGGTTGCAGGCCGTAAAGTCAAATGAATGAGTTCAGAGAACCTGAAATGCTCTGTAAAACTGAGGGGGACTGCAAAGTTGGGTGGTAATTCTCTATGAGTTTGTCACTACGATCACCTCATTTCACATTACACATTATCATTTGACTGACTTTGATATAGTGCCCCCAAATTCCCAAAGGTCCTCAGTTCTCTACAGAGTCAAGTGATAATTCTGTGTTGGTTTAACATCATGAGCAGCCCAAAATACATATAATTACCAGGACACAAGCCTAGACAGACATACATACATGCATGTTAACTGCTTTGTCCTCCATCAAGGGGAAGAGCACTGACACTTCCATTATACACATCGTATTTTTATTTATAGAGCCATAACTCGGTGTGACTAGACCTCCTGCACTATCTCTTTATTCCCCAATAAATTTCACCTCCTTATCTAACAGCAGACAGACACCTCATGGCCAAGCAGGAAGTTGTGGCTGACTGCTTGATTGGTGTTTATTGTCATATGCACAGTGAGGAAACGTGTTTCCCTGTACAATGAATTTCTTACTTTGCCATCCACACTAATGCCACACAATATAAGTGAAATATAACGCAGATACATAGGTAACACAAAATCTAAATCTCAAAATCTAAGGCACTGTGAATAGTTTTAAAAAACACGTTGAAAAACAGGGCTTCAACATGTACACTGGTCATATAGGCTGCTGTAAACAGATTAGCCTAAGCAACCTACATGTTTTGGCCACATTTCATGACATTTAATTTGTAAAGTACCTTTTAATTTAGTTTCACCAGATAGAGGACTTGGGCTTGCTGGCCTTTAGCCCACATATTCATAATGGGTGTCCTGCATATTACTCAGATTAAGGGAAATATTGCAAACCACTGAAGCAAGAAAGTCAGTATTGAGCATTACTCACTTTTAATTAAGATTGCTCTATACAAAATTCTTTTTTCACAACTGGCAGCAAAATGCACTTATTTTTATATAGGATACTTTTCAACATATGAAAGCCATGCACAGCTTGGAAACAGTACAGACGCAATAAATACTCAATAATACAGTCTTTGGCACATTTCAGAGTCCCAGTCCATGGGCCCCTAAAGATTTTAGGCTTTTTTTCTGCTTATTGGCACCCCTGAATAATTTATCACATGATATTCACATCACTAAAGTTTCATGCTGCCATTATACAGGCCCCCATCACCTTTGATAATGCTTTGCATGGTTCAGTTCCTTGGAAATAACTGTAAAATTTGATGATTGCTATTTGCATAGATGGATGGATATACCATACAAACAAAGCAAACTGACACTTGAAACTTGTAACTAAAATCCAAACGCCAGTGGTCTGCTGCTGTTGTAGTTCCTGATGGCCGCCACAAGATGATCCCCTTGTTGCACAAGACTGCACAGATGACATCATGACGAGTTGAATTTTAGGTATATCTAATTTCTAGATAAGATGGTCCTCATTTAGCCATGCACACATCAGTAAATATTCACATACAACAGGACAAACAAAGAGAAAAATCAAAGACACACTCGTACAGTGGTGTCAGAAGCACTGAGGCACTAAAACTGTTTTATCTCTATGTTCAAACTTGAGACAAAGAAAACCATTATTATCAGTATCACATCAGCTGGCTGGACAGCTAGTAAGGTTTATAACTTTTACATGCCACAGTCCCTACAATACTGCAAAGCACAGTAGACGCATGCATGCAAATTCAGGTTTGTGCAAGAGACAGAATAAAACAACGGATGACATATAAAAACAGAAATATGTAAATACTGTTGTCCAACAGCTTTCCCACTTTGCTGAGACATTGCAAGTAATATAACCACATTAAATAGTTTTGTGCTGTTACGTTTTGGAGAATGAAATTTTAAAAAGATTGAATTGTTCAAAGGACTTCAAAGATTCCAGATCTTTGAATCCCAGTGTATAGCCTCTTTTTAACAAACATAAGAAATAAAATGAACAGAAAAATTCATTGCTGGATGTTTCTCAGTCGTTGTCATAGATACACTCTGAAAAAAAAAAGAGATTAAAAAACATGATTTTTCTTAACTGTAATTTTGGTCCATTGTGCAGAAACTTGTGAAATAATAAAGATGAACTTAACATACCATCTCCAATATCATCATAGATATCACCATCGCTGTAAACAAATAAGTCATCAGTTGTCTCTCTTTCTTAGTCTTTGTGTGTATGAATATGTGAACGTTTGTGGTACTTACTCCATATCAATGTGGCTGGTGGAAACATAACCAACTGTAAAATACAGAGTTTTTAGTTTAGACACATGGTGTGAAGAATGGTAAAGGCGTGTAGGAATCATGAATGCATATTGATTCATTATCTCTGTGGGATCAAACACAAACAAAGAGCAGATACTCACACTTGCCCTCGTCATTGCGGCAGATCAGTTTGTTATCCACGGCTTTTGCAATGACGTCAAGTTTCTCCGCTGCTTTGATTGGCAGCTCTTTCCCACTCCACTTCTTATTAGTCAGCGTGTTGACAACAGTCACCTGGTACAACACCCGTATCTCACTATCATACTGAAACAGACAAACAATACACTCTCAGTTTGGATGCTTTATGTTTCATTCTTGGTGGCACAAAAGGGCTTAAAAAGCAAAAGTCATTTTCAGGGCTCAGGTTTATCTTTCAATTGATTAAACTCAGTAATTCTTAGGAAGTACATTTAAAATGACTGTTGCTATTCAGTTACAGCCCTGTTAAATGTATTGATGATTTCACATTCAGATGTTTTTCATCCTTGAAACAGTGATTGACTGGATTGATAAGCATGCTTAAAAACATATTAACAAGGCAGACTTTAAACTTTTTCCTGAAGTCCTTCTCCTCTTTCTCAAACTTTTTCTGCTTCTTAGGATCCATCTCTTCAGTTTTGCTTTTGCCTTTCAGGTTTGTGGGGCTGGGTAGAAACATAAGTGAGAGGACAAAACAAAACATTAAACCTTGAGTTTATGTTTAATGGGGAATTGATCAACCCCTATCAAATATTTAAATGGCTACTTATTGTTTCTTTTAAATCAATGCATGCTTTCTGATTATTTTGACCCTTTAAATCATGACTATCAACAGGTGTATGCTTTGAGATTGGTGTACCTGATGACGGGAGCAGGTGGAGGAAAACTTTGAGAGTCAACATCATCGTATATCTCATCATCGATTGCTACTCCTGTCTTATCTGTGGTTATATGTAGGAAAAGTCAATTAGGTAAAGCTTTTAAACCTGGATTCAGTTGGGGCACATTTTAATCAGACTACATACAGCAAAAATAGATTATCAGCTGTAAAGAATATAAATACAATTGGACAAAGGAAATGTCAGGCGCATAACAAAGGTGTAATTTGATCAGGGGCACTTTTAAATTTAAAGTACATTTTCCTGTTGTAAGTTCAGAGATTCAAACCAGCACATTTCAGCATTGTTTGTATAGAGAAGCCATGATAAATATTCAAGAATCTTTATTCTTAAAATATCCCCCCAGAACTCCTTATTATTATCACAGTGAGTGATACCTGCATGTCCCTCTCCAGTGAACTGGCCGGGTGGAGACACTCTGGTCCAAGAGAAAAAAAATGTTTAAAGGTTTCATCCTTTACTGTATATCATTAAAATGTCATCAGGTAAAAGGAGGTTAATACAGTTCAAAGCAGATCAAATTAATCAAATTATATCTTAACTAATCTGTTGTTAAAGCATGCTTTTAAACGTGTTAGCAAATCATTCCTTGATTATTTTTTTGATTACATCAACAATTACACATCAGACATGCAAAAATCTCACGAATATTAGTAAATTAATGTGATTGTAATTATAGAATCAAGATTTCAGCCTCTGAGACACGCAAGACAACTTCATCCAACAAGTGCTGTTCAGCTATTTAAAAGAAGAGTGGCGGCTGAAAGATTAGAGATTAACAACAGTGGACAGTAGATCTGTGAGCAGTCTTACTAATGAGTGTATTTTACTCTTTAGTGCTGGCAGTGCGTCTGCTCCGGTCGAACATCCGTAGGAAGCTACGGGACTTCACAGGAGAAGACCTGACATCCAGGGGACTAGAGAGCCAACCAAGGATGAAAAGACCTGCATTTCTTTTTCTGTTTCATTTTTGAATCTTTCCTGGGTATCCCTCTCCATTTAGCAATTTGCTAGTCAGTTTGTTTTTAGAGGAGTTCAGGCTGATTCTACTGTAAATCTAAAGATTGTCTCCCACCTGATTTCCAGGTTTGGATCAAGAACATCATCATATATTTCTCCCCCGTCTTCTGGTGGCGGGGGTAGGGCAGCTACAGGACAAAAGCAAATACATAATGTAACTGGTGATGTGTTTCATCTCAGCAAAAGCATTTACATTAATTGAATACAAAGCTATGATGGAACAAATGTTATTGTAATATTAAAAGCATACTTCTTGGTCCTTTGGTCCCACTGTAGAGAGAGAAGAAATTGTAGAAGAAATGTATGTTATAATATGAACAGCTGGCTAATTTAGTGACCATTTCTCAGAATTGACTTGAGAAATGATACACGAGGTTCCACAAATAAAACATGCACACACAGACATTCTGTACACCAGTCTGATAGAAAAAAATGACTTGTCAAAAGCAAAAGTGAACTGCTAACAACTAATGTCTACATGTTTCTGAGTTGAGTAACACTGGTTTTTTTTTTAATTGTGGGACAATATACTTCCTCTCTCACTTCTGTTTGTTCCTACAAACGTGCAACATGTCAGTGCAACTAACAGATGTGGAGTAAGAACATATAATTTTACATTTAGGGTACCTGTTATCAGAGGCCACATCGATGTCATCGTAGACCTCAGGCTCGTATGCCTGCTGAGGCTGACGATTCTTCAGAGTATTAAAGTCAATTTCCACTGAAGTGGTCTTTACATATCCAACTGTTAGAATTAAACAAAATAAAATATAGTTTTTTTTGTTAGTCATTAGGATTTTTGGTGTAGTTGATTGCAGGCTTTTAGCCCTAATACAGACTAATAAAAGGAAAATGAGCCTGCGTGTGTGAAGTATGAGAAGTAGAAAATGTAACTGAAAGTCAAATCCTGTTTTTCCAGGTGAAACTGAAGGAGGACAGGGGAAAGATGATAGGCCATGGTGAAGTTATGAGGCAGATGAGGGCTAAATACAGTATGTGAACCTACTGGATCCATCTTGTGTCCGTCCCAACCATTTCCCCTCTGGGTTGCCCTGTACACGGATGATGTCCAGGGAGTCTCCCTGCTTCAGACCAAGGTCGGTTTTACTGCCTTTGCAGTCCACTCGAGCTTTCCCTTGATGGATGACTTCCAGGGGGCCTACAAACTAATACACACACACAGCCATGCACAAACATATAGATTATGGCATGGTTTTATGAGCAGACATTGTGTATTCAGGAAAACACAATAGGTGTCATTTGTTTAATCCATACAAAGACAAAAGTGTGAAAACAATGCGTCAGGGTTTTACTGGGATTATGAAATGGACTGGTCAAGAAATAGTCCAGCAACTAACTCAGCCTTTACCCCAGCATGCTAAGCTAAACTAGCTTAGTATACAGACATGAGAGTTGCTCCATTTCAGCTGTTGTATGGATTCAACAAATGAGATATAACATGTTATATTGATTAGTGAACTCTTGAGGTGTTGGACAGAGCCACTTTAAATGTTCCCCAATTTCCAGTCTTTATGCTAAGACTCTTTATACTTATCATGAAGCATATTTTGGATTAAATCTTAAACCAGATGGAAGAGTGAACCGAGCTTCTCATCTAACTCTAGGGAAACAAGCATGCAATATTTTCCAAAATGTCAAATTATTCCACAAGGATGCCACAGCAGGTTTAGCTGAGAATTTCACTCAGTTCCTCTCACTTTGAATTTCTTTCTGGCATCTTGCTCTTTCTTCTCACGTTCCTTCTGCTCCTTCTTCTCAGCCTCCAGTCGTTTCTTCTCCTCCTTCTCGTCTTTTTCTTTCTTCTTTTCTTGCTTTTGTTCGACTGCTTCCCTTTTGAGACACAGATAGTGAGATTTGGCAAAAATAAAAACCAGAAATGTTGAAGTTGTGAGAGACTTAAACATAAATGAACCCCCATGATGCAGCTCGCTCGGACACTTTTAAGATTACAGCATTCATTTTTCCTCGAGTAACAAAAGAAACAGCCAAATAAGTGTTTTAAATACATATACTATCCCTGTACAGTACAGCCATAAAATGTAAACTTTATTTATTTATGCATATTATTTTAATAGAAAACAAATGAAGTATCTTCAAAACAGAAACAAATGAAAAGCAACAGACAATAACTCCACAGCTGAGCTCCCCTAAAAGGCTATTTAAAGGTGAATTTGAAATGGTCCAGATTATGACCAGACGACACATTTAGGAAAGAAAAGTTCATCTTTTGTAGTGCTGCCAAACAACCACCAGAGAGTAGTGTTCAGTAAGTAAGGTTATACACATTTGAACTGGTGACTGATAGTAATACTTATGTGGTGCATTGTTAAACATATGTCAACCTAAGTTAAAGAGCAAAGAGTACATTGTAAATTAGTTTGTGGCAGGGTTTTAAAACAGACCAAAGTCACCAACCAGGCTCATTAATTAGAATTCAACTAGTCCATCTATACGTAGTCAGATAATTGAAAAGGTTTATTGAGGCAACATTCTCTCACCATCGTTCATCAAGATCCTCATACATCTCTTCATCATCATCATTATTATCACCATCGTTGATTTCCTCCTGGGCAGACGGACATAAAAACAAAGCTGGAATTAGGTCAGTGTTATGTTTTCACCTGCTGAAGTGTCCATGTTCTTCGGAGTTTATTAGTCTCATGTCACAGTTTCTGGCCTCATCTGAGTGTGTTTACAATATGTAATTTGCATCAAGCACATGTATTTGCATGCAAATCTGTATTCATGTACAACTAATTCAGCATCTCTCACCTTTGCCCTGTTACTTGGGTGACCTGCATAAGAGAAGCAATGAATCAGGATTACAAGGGAATTTGATCCTTTTGAAATATATACTATAATTATCAACTAAGAACTGACTATCTTACTAGATCACAGAAAAAAGAAGGAAGTTGCACAGGTAATATTGTATATCTGTTGATTTTTCGGAACTGCAGTATGCAAATCAATATTTATGTATAAATTTTCATACAAAGAGAACTAAACTAGATTGTTTAGACAACATTTGGCAGGAACTGCAATTTCAGCCAGATCTCATGTGCACATAAAATTGCTGTTTCCTCACAGCAAGAAGGTTCAGTGTTCAAGCCCCGGCCGACCCGATGCCTTTCTGTGTGGAGTTTACATGTTCTCCCTGTGCCTGCGTGGGTTCTCTCAGGGTACTCCGGCTTCCTCCCACAGTCCAAAGACATGCAGCTTAGGCTGAAAATTAAACACCCCAAAGTAGGTGACAGGTTGGTAGCAGCAGATTATAGCCTAGTAGGTTACACTGTCAGGTTACACTGACACATATGATGTGATGTGAGGTGTATGATACACAGTTGTCATCTGACTTATTGTAGTGATAAAAGCATACAAAAGTTTAGCAACATGGTTGTTGTGATGCACTACATTTGATCAAACAGTGACCGTTACTGAACCTGAGGATGGTGGTAGAGGGGGAGGAGAACTGGTGAGCTCATCAACATCATCATAAAAGTCTTCTTGCTCAGTCCTGAAAAGGACAGTCAGGATTTACATTTCATTAGCTGGAACAGCTTCATCCAGAAAACATACAAAGTACATATCATTTTAAGTGGGTTTGTGCATGCAAGATGTGTAACTTACATGGATGTAGGGTGTCGGAGGGGTAGACTGGAGGTTGGAGGCAGAGGAGGTTGAGTAAGGGTCACCTGGTTGCTATGGTTACTGGGGCGAGAGGCCAGATGAGTTGGGATGGTAGGTTTTTTCATGGTGCCATGACCTGTATCAAAACACAGGGTCAGTCCCCAGACAGGTAACTAGTTCATTTGCCCATGCGACACAAACAAGCAAACCAGAAGTCAGATAGGACACAACAAACAGAATGACAATGTAAAAATGCTCAATTACAAGTACAAAACTTAACCCAAAGTCTACACAGAATAATCAGCAAAAATATACTGATATTATAATATAACTAATATTATATGCTAAAAGTAAAAGTACTCATTAAGTACCAGAATGGCTTTATACATTGTTATGCAATACCATGTAAGCAGCCTTTTAATATTGTTCTTAACTGAGGTGGGATTAAGTTTAAATACTTCATGTAATATTAAATATTAAAAGAAAGATAGCTCGTTATAATAGGGAAGAGAGGAAAGTAGCACAGGAAAGTGTTGTAGCTTGTTGGGCCTTAGAGCCAAAATGACAAATTGTAACAGGTTACAGAAAAACAGCCACCAAATAATCACATGAATCAGACCACAGGATCAGAAATGTTGAGTTATTTTTCTCTTCTGCCTTCCAGCCTTGCCTGTGTTTCACAACTGACTGGAAATCAACTCAGACAAGGTGTGTGTCTAAAAACAGAGACACTCTCTCTCCCTGTCAGCTGGCACTTACTTCCCCGTATGGTGAAACAAAGTGTGCTGTCAGAGGAGAGAGCGAGGGGGGAGGAGAAAAGAAAAACTGGACAGGGAACTTGGCCAGGGGAAATAGAGGAACCAGCTGTGCTTCTCTGACTTTGCTCTGTTATCTGGTGCTCTGAGCAACTACAGGCGCTTCTGTGTGTGTGCATTTTAGTATGTACAGAATGTTAAAAAAAAGCAAATTCAGAAGTTGTATAAACACATTGAAAGATAAACTTATTTTTAATTATGTGATGCACAAACGGGATGTTTGGTCAGACAATTGAAAGTAAACTCAACAACTGCAGACTTCGCATTGCCACTGAAACCACACTGACTTGCCAAGCTGAATATCACACTTCTGAAATGTGTCTAAAGCAGCACTGCTAGTAACACAGAGGAAATGGCCTTGAGATAACAATATAATTGTTACTTGCAAACTTGCAAACAGTTCACTGCCCTGCATCATTTTATCCTCCCAAAAAGAAGATCCTGGCTTAGGTGAGAGACAGTGATGCCTACATAAAATGCTGCAACATGTTTATTTCAAAGGAAAAGTGCTTTTAACACAATTTAACAATTTGTTGCATACTGATTTGGAATAGGGGCACAAAGACATATCATAGCAAATGTAAAACAAATGATGCAATGCAGCCAATCTTGTTGAAATAGTCCTGTCTGTGGGGTCACATGTGTGTCCCTGCTGGCTGCCAGATGTTTCTCTCCTCAAACTCTGTCTCTCCCTCTGTTTTTCAGCACCTTTCAGCAAATAAAGTCCTAATAGTGGTCAAAGTCCTAATAGTTATAGGCGAAAGAGGAAGAGGTTTACAAAAGCTATTGTATGAAAGTTAGTTTAGTCAAAAAGACAACATTTTAAGTTAATCTGGTATATTCTTTTTAGTGTTCAGATATACTTTCAGTAAGTTTGATTTGCTATTTCAGCACATTGCCAGGAATTTAATTCTAGCAGAGAACTAAGCCTCATTATTTCCTTTTCTTAGTCTGAATAAAAAAAAGAACACTATATTTAATGTGCATTCATAAGCTCATTTTCAGGTCATCAAACCCCACAAATTCCCAGAAACATGTTCTCGTTGTCTTCAGAGTTGCCTACAATATGATCTTGTTAAGTCACATAAGGAATCATAACCAACTGCACATATAGTGCCTTGCGAAAGTATTCGGCCCCCTTGAACTTTGCGACCTTTTGCCACATTTCAGGCTTCAAACATAAAGATATAAAACTGTAATTTTTTGTGAAGAATCAACAACAAGTGGGACACAATCATGAAGTGGAATGAAATTTATTGGATATTTCAAACTTTTTTAACAAATAAAAAACTGAATAATTGGGCGTGCAAAATTATTCAGCCCCTTTACTTTCAGTGCAGCAAACTCTCTCCAGAAGTTCAGTGAGGATCTCTGAATGATCCAATGTTGACCTAAATGACTAATGATGATAAATAGAATCCACCTGTGTGTAATCAAGTCTCCGTATAAATGCACCTGCACTGTGATAGTCTCAGAGGTCTGTTTAAAGCGCAGAGAGCATCATGAAGAACAAGGAACACACCAGGCAGGTCCGAGATACTGTTGTGGAGAAGTTTAAAGCCGGATTTGGATACAAAAAGATTTCCCAAGCTTTAAACATCCCAAGGAGCACTGTGCAAGCGATAATATTGAAATGGAAGGAGTATCAGACCACTGCAAATCTACCAAGACCTGGCCGTCCCTCTAAACTTTCAGCTCATACAAGGAGAAGACTGATCAGAGATGCAGCCAAGAGGCCCATGATCACTCTGGATGAACTGCAGAGATCTACAGCTGAGGTGGGAGACTCTGTCCATAGGACAACAATCAGTCGTATACTGCACAAATCTGGCCTTTATGGAAGAGTGGCAAGAAGAAAGCCATTTCTTAAAGATATCCATAAAAAGTGTCGTTTAAAGTTTGCCACAAGCCACCTGGGAGACACACCAAACATGTGGAAGAAGGTGCTCTGGTCAGATGAAACCAAAGTCGAACTTTTTGGCAACAATGCAAAACGTTATGTTTGGCGTAAAAGCAACACAGCTCATCACCCTGAACACACCATCCCCATTGTCAAACATGGTGGTGGCAGCATCCTGGTTTGGGCCTGCTTTTCTTCAGCAGGGACAGGGAAGGTGGTTAAAATTGATGGGAAGATGGATGGAGCCAAATACAGGACCATTCTGGAAGGAAACCTGATGGAGTCTGCAAAAGACCTGAGACTGGGACGGAGCTTTGTCTTCCAACAAGACAATGATCCAAAACATAAAGCAAAATCTACAATGGAATGGTTCCCAAATAAACATATCCAGGTGTTAGAATGGCCAAGTCAAAGTCCAGACCTGAATCCACTCGAGAATCTGTGGAAAGAACTGAAAACTGCTGTTCACAAATGCTCTCCATCCAACCTCACTGAGCTCGAGCTGTTTTGCAAGGAGGCATGGGCAAAAATTTCAGTCTCTCGATGTGCAAAACTGATAGAGACATACCCCAAGTGACTTACAGCTGTAATCGCAGCAAAAGGTGGCGCTACAAAGTATTAACTTAAGGGGGCTGAATAATTTTGCACGCCCAATTTTTCAGTTTTTTATTTGTTAAAAAAGTTTGAAATATCCAATAAATTTCGTTCCACTTCATGATTGTGTCCCACTTGTTGTTGATTCTTCACAACAACTTACAGTTTTATATCTTTATGTTTGAAGCCTGAAATGTGGCAAAAGGTCGCAAAGTTCAAGGGGGCCGAATACTTTCGCAAGGCACTGTAAATACCATCACAGCAACTCTGTAAGAATCAGTATCTCTAACTACAAGTACTGTATGCTCATTCAGCTCTTTGTAGATGTCTTCCATAGCTGAGACATGAGCTAATTTGCAAATCTTTGCTAAACAGTTTTTGCTAAAAGATGTTACCAATGCATGATGCAGTGGTACTAAATTGAGTTTTGTACTTCTGGGGTGGCTGTGGCTCAGGAAGTAGAGCGGCCTTCCCCTAAACAAAAAAATCAGCAGGCATCTATAATTTTTCTGAATCTAAATGAAGAATGTTTGCATGAGTTTAAATGGAGCCCTGAAAGTGTGATCACACCTTTGACACACTGATGTTGCACTAATTATTTTGGTAGTGTCGGAAGCTGCTATTTTAGACACAAGAAACCTGTATATTGTGCAATTAAACAAAGTGATAGCTGATTGTTTTGTGTAAATAATGATCTGTAAATAATCTTAATTCACTTAATGGCTTGGTGCATCTTCTCTTAATCGGTGCATTATATTTTCATAATATTTATTTTTCATAATATTTCATTGCTGTCACTGTTATTCCCAGTCTCACTTACCCTCATCAGAGGCCTCAGCAGGTCTTTTAAATTTCTCCAGGTTGACTCTGGGGGGTCGGTTCGGTTTAGCAGGAGCAGGGCCCAAAGCGAAACTGTTGGGTAGGGTATTACGCTTGGGGCCTGAAGTGACATTATCATTAACGCTGCTAGCCTGAGGAGAGGGCTTGGCTGACATCCTCAGGCTAGGTTTTTTACTAGGTAGAGGTTTTGGAGGTGGGATGGAGTTAGTAGCAGTGAGGGGCGGTTTTTTGGCTCCACCACTATCTGATTGTTCATTCCTATCCTGCTTGATGAACATATTTTGAGTAGCTCTGAAGTTGGATGCGGGTTTAGGAGTGGAGTTTGTCGGAGGTGAAGCTTTGACTGTAGTGTCCGTGTTTGTTCCTGCCAGGCCTTCATTTTGCTGCAGCAATTTTGTTAAGCTGCTCGGTTTTTGTTGTAAAGGCATTTTGAGTGGTGTGGGGCTGGTAGTGGGTGGTGTACCCCCACCACTGTCTTCCTTCACCCAGCTGGGCTTTGAACTGACTGCTAGAGGTGGTTTAGGAAAGGCAACTTTGGAGTCTGACAGGGTGGAACTGAGGGAGGGCTTGCTGAGAGCTGGCTTCTGTCCAGGGATTTTAGCTTCAGGTGCAAGCACAGACGGCTTCAAGGGGGTCTGCTGTTTGTTAACAATGAAAGGTTTGCTGTTGGTGTCATTCTGGCTGTTAGCAAACCTGCTAGCCAGAGCTTTACTTTTGTTTGGCTCCTGTGCCTCTGTGTCACTTTTAGGAGACACTGCATTTTTCAGAAAAGTTGGTTTAGGAGTAACATTTATGGCACTGCCCGGGACACTTTCCAGGACAGGTTTCTTGGTTTGTACATTCACGCCTGAGGAGAGGGTCGGGTGCAGGGATTGTTTGGTACGTCCAGCCGGTGTAGAGGAAGACTCATCAGAGCTTGGCCCACTCGTTTGGAAGCGAGCCATAATCGCTTTTACATCAGCCTTATTTTCCTGGAATGAATGGAAGAGGATCAGAAGCAAAGTTAATGACAAAAAATAAATAAAACTGGATCTCATTGAAGCTGGTTGAAAAGAAAATTAGGATGTGTTGTGTGTACTGGAATATAAAATGCTACAACAGACTGCTGGTCCAAGCAAAAGAGGAATGAATAAAAACAAGATGCAAACTTAATTATACTAGCATACAGTTCCTACAGTATGTTCGCACATACTGTAGGAACAAAAAGTTACAAAGCTTTAAAAATACTGTATTTCCCTAAAGACATTTCCTACTTTTATTTCTAGCTCCTTTATTCAATCAGTGAAATTCCTGTTCTGTCTGTGCTTATTTACCCAAAGTTTATTTGAAAACCAGGACAGTCCCAAAACACTCCTGAAAGCATGACAAAGTTTATTCTATTTCATCATATAAAAGTCCTGCCAGAGTTTTATATCTTATAGACCTCCCTACATATATCAAATGAAAATGCCTTTTCTCTGATATAGAAACGATCACATTGATTTTAGCCAATGTAGCCTGCAAAGATCAGAACTGGAAACCACACTCATATGAATCTACTTTAATACAGAAGCTTTTTTTTTTTATTAAAATGTATAAATGAAAAGTAAATATGAAATCTGCAAAGAGAACAATCTTTCAAATAGCAAATTCTAATATATCAAATATACAGTAATTCAATAGATGAACACAGGAGTGAAAACATTTACTACAGAGCAATCACTGACTAATTTAGGGCCATACTTTCCTCAGGTACGCAGATGCTTCGAGCTACAATAGATCAATTTCATGTATTGTTGCGTTGTTGAGTCCCTAATATAATGCGTCCAATTACCTGAGGGTAAATAATCAAAAGGCATTTTGTCAAGTATTTATTGTTGAAGAAAAGGGGGATCAATATTTATAAAATGCTTGTTCTGAGAATGAATGAACCTTATCTGCAAAATGGTTTATGGTGAGCCGCAATTTAATTTATACCACTAAAGAAAAGGTTACCTTGTTGCTTTGGCTATGACCCAAATGGATCAGGAATCTGCAAGTCTCGACTATGAGCATGAAGGATGATCAAATGCTGGGGAAGATGCACTACAAGTAGCATCCAAAATGCACACAAAAATGACAGGTTTGGTCCTGTATCAGCTCTGCAGCTGTTTCAAAGTGTCACAGTGGCGTGACCAAGCACCAGCCACATCTCTTTCTATGAGACTGGTTTGCCTGGGGTCAGAGAATAAAGTTTTGGAGGAAATATAATTGCTACCTGGATTGCATTTGCTAACGCCCTTTCCATTCCACAAAATGCTCTTGTACTGCATTGAAATGATTCTGGTTTTGGTTAAATATTGAAAAAAATAAACAAGTCCTGTGTTGTGTCATTTTTTCGGTAGCCTGTTTAATCAAGACAACGATCTTCTGATAACCTTGACCCAGTTACTTAAACATAAAATGTCATGAAGGGATATTTTAGGGGAATCAAGTGTGATTACTAGAGTACATTTAGTTTGAACATTTTGCAGATTAGACTTGCAGAAAACCTAGTTTATTTCAAAACATATACAGTATATCATATGCCTTTAATGATGCCAGTAAAACGTTTTCTCCCTGCTTCTGTTTTTCAACCACAACCTAAAAATTGCCCAATATGTGCTATACCAAACAGTTGCAATTACTGCTTCTTTCTTCAGCTGCAATTTTGTAAAAACCTACAGCGTGACAAATCCTGGGGAAACTTATCAGGGTAACCCTCAAAATAAACAGGAGATTCATGCGAAGAGGTGTGAACCACAGTATTGAAGATCACAAAGACTGAGTTAGCTATATGGTGAGGTGTTTTGCACGTTTCTCTGCTAGTGTAAATATAAATCAAATGCAATTATTGATGAACTTATTCAACTTTAAAGACAGACAGAGAACAAAACATGTATAGAATTACAAATTAGTAGGATAAATTAGCAGGGTTGCCTCTGTAACTCTGGATTTGCACATTTCAAAAATCAGTTCTTGTATGTGGACAACAGTATGCTAACAAATGGATAGATGTGCTATACTTTTTGCTTTTTAACAACTACCTTTCAAGCTAATCAGGCTGTGTATTTTGGTGCCCAAAGAGAGATTTGAGGTGAATTGTCACTTTAAATAGGCCATAGCATGCTTTCCTTTGTTTTCTGACTTATCTACATTGTTACAACAGCGAATTATCATCTTAGACGTGACCTAAAAATTAAAAAAAAGAGTACATACAGGTATGTTCTAGTATTTCTATGCAGAAGTAACTCAGTTTATACATGCCTCGCAAGCTCGCAAAACTGTTTTTCTACCAAAATAAAGTATTGTGTGATAGTTTAAGGATGCCCTTGAATGGGCATAAAATCCAGGCTGTTGCACGTTCATGTGAGCTTGCCTGACATCCACTGGTACCCCCACCATATTGGCAAAATGTTATACTGCCTTGTTTGTTATGTGTATTTTCAATAAAGCTTATTAAAAATAAAAAAGCATGACTAACGACCCATGATGTTATTGGAGCTATGCTACCTGTTGGAATTAATGTCACTACTTTGGGACTGTATGTGGTCATGTGGGGGAAGACAGAGCAACCACCGGTTGGCTTTATTGACCTTGGAGCTACTGGAAAGGGAGTGATGTTTCCACTATTCGGTGGGACTTAATGGTAAGTTTAAAAAAACACACGTTGCATGTGTGTTAATGCCTTGTATCTGTAACATTAGAGAAAATTGTTGTAAGGCTGGAGAAGGTTAAAATATGGGCTTTCTCAACTACCCACTTTGTTTAGAGTGTTACACATCTCTTTTCATCGGCACATATACCCTTGTTTACCTATCTATGGAGGAGAAACTCAAATTAAATAATGCGGTCGCAGTTCCTTGCGCTGTCCACTTGCAACACAACACTGTCAGCAGGGGTCATATGCGTTCACAAACTATCCTCTCGTTTCCAGGAAGAGGCTCTCCGGGTGATATCATTGTAATCGTTCTGAAATACAGTCTTTTTGTAGTTATGAGGGCTGCCAAAATAATCTAGAGGTAACAGAGGTTAAATTTAAATGGCTGGAAAGTAGTATGCCATATGCCTTTAATGATGCCAGTAAAACGTTTTCTCCCTGCTTCTGTTTTTCAACCACAACCTAAAAATTGCCCAATATGTGCTATACCAAACAGTTGCAATTACTGCTTCTTTCTTCAGCTGCAATTTTGTAAAAACCTACAGCGTGACAAATCCTGGGGAAACTTATCAGGGTAACCCTCAAAATAAACAGGAGATTCATGCGAAGAGGTGTGAACCACAGTATTGAAGATCACAAAGACTGAGTTAGCTATATGGTGAGGTGTTTTGCACGTTTCTCTGCTAGTGTAAATATAAATCAAATGCAATTATTGATGAACTTATTCAACTTTAAAGACAGACAGAGAAGAGAATGAGCGGTTATGTTAAAAGCAAAGAGGAACCATAACTCTTACTTCCAGTGTGATGAAAAGTGCCAAAGTTGCCTTGCTCAATGTATTTAGCACAAAATCAAAAAACACATACATAATGGTGACTTGTTTTTATATTAATGTGTCAAAAACTATCAAATTAAATCCCATTTTTTTAAATGCAATAAACTAAAAACCCAGAAATCATTAGTAACTTCGTTGTCCAAGTTCTATCACAGATTCTCTTCCAGTTCTACTGAATGCAAAGTGAAACTTTTCTTCTTTAATCATATTACAGATGTACCCCAGAATGACTTGAGGGTGTTTTTACAAAGAAATATATTTATTCATTCAAAATAAGTCTTAAAACAAGTCTATAACAAATATGTCAGCAGTTTTCGTTCACCACGTCATACCAGGACACTACAAGCTAATTCTAATATTTAGGAAGTAAATATTTTAAAATACCTTTAGTTGGTTGTTAGGTTGTACTCACCATACTCTGCTGTGTCCAAATGGTTGGTGCAGTGTTTGTTCAGTGTATCTGTGTGAGTTTCTGTTGTGATCGAAGAGAGATAATGAGTGACTAAGAGTGTGACCAAGCATTGAGAGTGTGTGTGTGGGTATGTGGGGGATGTATTCTGTTGGCGACTTCTTAAGCGTGTGTCTACAACTGACTACTTCCTCTCTTACTATATAGCTTTTTTTGTGTGTGAGCCTCACAGCCGCTTTTATCTTTGTGTTTTCATCTCATGGATTTGCCTGTCCTTGGCAAACTGCCTGCAGTTTCCCTCTGTGCTCAACGACTGATATTCACTAACTCAGCAGCAGGTCAACAGAACAAACCATGATGAGAATTGCCTCTTAGTAAGTGTATGTAAGACTTTAAATATGATGTGACAATGATGTAACAAGACCGACAGCTATAGCCATAATATCCAACAACCATAGTAATCACTACAGTAAAGAAACTGAACACATGCATTAAGTGCATAGCCATACCAGCAGCTGTGTGACGCTGTTTTTGAACTGAATTTTGAGCTACATACCAACATTATCACCTGTGTTCTAGCAGTGTGACACAGTGAGCTGGCTCTGTTCCATGTACTGTATATACAATAGCTGCCATATCTGACTAGGTTGTGACTAGGTATTGACATTGTTGAGCTGTGGCCACATTAGAGAATTCAGAATGCTTTCTGTGAGTTGACTCACTTGTACTGTACATCATTCAGTCTAAAGAGAGCTGAGCAGTCCCCCTAGTGGATGTCATGGCTATCGTAGGATTATCTTTGCATGATAAAGACAAACTGTAAAAGCTTGTAGTTTCAGAGGTTGTAAAGTTGTTCACTTGTGGTGGCTTTAGCTTGTGACCATGTTGCATAAAATGAGGTTGTGGGTAATGGTTTTAATTGTTTGTTCTGTTTGATTTGTTTCATTCAAGTTGTCATTCATTATTCTAGACACATATAAATAAATAAAACATGCAAGCACAAAAAAATTTGAACAGTGGGCATTAATCCCCAAATCGGGTGCTAAGAATTTCATTTGAAGTAATTAATTTCAGCAGCCTAAGACGCTGACACCAACGTTCAGGTGACTTTTAGCATTACAGACTCCAGCTGCAGCTCGGCAACAATTAAACAATGATAATATATTTATATAGATGTAGCCTATTATTACTGTTATTACTGAGGTATGATGCCAGAACTGCCATCTGTTAATTTACCTTAAAATATAGCATAACCACTTTTCAGGATTATCCTATTACTTTTTCCATTTTTGTCATACAGGTACATTTTTGGGCCATTTTTAAATTGATCTTTACTCCAATTTACAAATGACAAAACTTCATTTCAAACAAATTCACCTTTGCCTTCCAGAGTATTTACAAAACTGCAATTCTGGAGATTTTAATGTAAAAAAGTTCAGCCTTGTCTTTGCATTTTACATAACTATTAAAGGTGTACCTCCCTCTTTCCTGCAAGATGTTGGTACCATGTATGAATCTCCAATATTGGTGGTTCATTTTGTCAGATATATTTCCCTCAAGCTGAGCCTGCATGTGATCTCATCTTAGTGATCTAATATTCAACAGTCTCTTCACTGGGCCTTGGACTGGTCTGGACTGCTTCGAAAAGGACTGAAGATCTTGTGTGAGAAATGCATATTTTTAACCAAAATAAAAAGTTCTCTCATTTTAAAATCATGTTTGTGCATTTACAAATTGTGAATTTGTTTGCATGGCATTTGGTGACTTTCCATGTTCCCCAGTGGAAGCAACTGTAAAGAAATCCCATAGCTGAATTAAAATACCCATGGAACATCTGTTACCATGCATGTTTATATTCATGATATATTTTTTCAACAACTGAAATACTTTGCATACAAGTTAAATTATGCTGTTCAAAGAGATGTTATAAAAGAATGTCCTGAGGCATGCAAACATTTAGTCGTTATTTTCTCTGTGTTTTGCTGACCCTGAGGTGCCTGCAGACTGCAGCTCTTTAAGAAACAGATGTTTAGCTGAGAGTTAAAAAATGAACATTTTGTTTCATTTAAATGCAGTTTGAATTTCATCATGATTTTTAATAGGGGAACTGTCGACATTATACTGGACAGAAGTGTTGCCAAGAAGTACAATCTGCTCAGCCTTGGATGAACTTTCCTCCTGTTTCACTGTTCCTGTAATAATAATAGAGCACCAGATTTTCAAGAAAAAAAAACTGCTGAAGAGTTTATGTACAGTATGCTCTTTCATTAAGAGCCATTCCACTATATTTTGCTTCACTTTTCATATTTATAATGTGCAAACACTAAAATATCCATCTGATTTTTGTAGTATCCAGTACCAGTATCATCTATTTAAATTCTATGTACTGAGTCCTGTGAGTCCAGAAGATGTTTGCGATCATTGTTTTTCAGTTCTATGTGTTCACAAATCTATGTGTTCATGTATTTTCTGTCATCTCAAGAATGTATGTAGGTAGCTCTTCTTCATTCCACTTCCTCTTCTTCCTGCTGCTTCCTCATTACTCCTCTGACTGGTGATGCAAGTATGTCTCCTCTTCCCTGTCTTCATCATACTCATGATAGTGTCCCACCTCGCTGCTTCCTCTTCCTCTGTCCTCAGGACAGTGGATCCCCAGTCTCTTCTGCAGCTTCTCCTCCTGGAGGCGGAGCTCCATGGAGTCCACCAGGTCATAGATGTTATCTAAGGACCACATGGGTGATGGGAACCATGCCTTGACATCGCTGTCCTTCCCCACAATCAGCATGCTGAAATAGTCCTTGCTGATCTTCAGCTGTTCTCTCAGATTGTTGACCATGTCACGGGGTAACAGCTCAACCTCAGTCTGACTATGACCTGGAAGAATAATGACGTAGAGAGGGACAAAACAACAACAACAAAAACATTGCACTTTCTCACTTTTTTGTAAGAAAATGTATCATGATAGTTCAACCTTAAAACATAAAAAAACATTCATATTTACTTTGTTCACATTAATGTACCCAATATTGACACTAAATTCTAAGTTGCTGTTTCCATTGTAGTACACAGACTTCCCCACATAACTGTAACTCACCATTCAGGGGAAATAGCTCAACAGTTCCTGATGCTTTAGCTCCTGCTCCAGTCAGCTTTAACATGGCAAAATGGCGAATGCCTAAGGAAAGACCCATGAGTGTGTATTTTAACACTAAGTGTTGGTGTGAATACAAATAATAAAATGCATTTTTTTTTATACTTAAACATTTTACGGACCCAGGTGACACTCCTGTCCCCTCAGAGCAGAGAGCTGCTGTTGGAAAGAGTAGTCATCCTCAGAGGGAGCAGAGATGATCAGCAGTCTCCTCGTAGACGTGAACCTAAAAGTATATAAAAATCCCGCTAGAATATCACAACCCCAAATCAGAAAAAGTTGGGATGCCGTGTAAAATGACAATTAAAACTGAAAATAGTGATTTGTAAATCTGTTTTAATTTTGATTTTACATAGTGTCCCAATTTTTTTCTCATTTGGAGTTGTATGCAACATCATTGGATGCTAATTGGAAATGTTTTATTGGATTTCTGAGAGGCTCCAGACTACTACTACTATGTGTCTCTGTGTAGTATCAGATAATGATGAGCAGTGAATTACTCCACCTGAGCAGTGAGTTCTCTACCCTTGGCTGTTGCTTGCCACTGGAGCAGACCGGAGGACTTTTCCTTTCTTTTTCTTCTTCTGAGCGTCTCGAGGGAAAGTTGTCAATGTATTCAAACAGAGCAGGACTTGATGGAGGAGCCTCAAAGACTCTCTGGGGGAAGATAAAAGCTGATTAGGCAAAAAACAGAGAACCAATTAAGTGAGATACCTCTGAACCTACATCATAAACAATTCCTGGCATAGTGTAAGACAACAAGAAAACAAGTTGGATGAATACAAAAAGTAGCATTTATTAATTTTTTGTTCTTACACAGGTGCAAACTCCACACAGAAAGGCATCAGGTCAGGCAGGGCTTGAACCCAGACCCTCTTTGCTGTGAGGTGATAGTACTTATCACTACCCTGCCATAGCTAATATATCAATTAAAAAAATATGCTGCATTCCTTTAGATTTCCACAAGATCAGAAAGATTGTGATGGCTCTATCTTTGTCACACACATTTGAAATGTTGCAGAAGAGGCATATATTGTTCTCATCATACTGCGCAGCTGTAAACCAGACTTCTTCCAGATGTGAACATTAGCAAGAACTGTGCTAAAAAGGCAGCATGCATGCTTGTGAACCACCACCCCCACCGCCCCACTCCCCAACACACACACCCCTTTCTTACATTGGGTTTGATATCATAGTCTGTGACTGTCATGGAAAAGAGGTCAGAGGACGACAAGCCAAGGTCTGCTCTCAGCAGGGAGATCAGGCCTGGATTTGAGACAGGCGCTGGTAGTTTACTGAGTGGAGGCTCTGATTCTGAAACACATACATAATCATAAACCAACATCATTTATGAATGAAGGTTTTTGCATATAGGCCTTCTGGAAAGGTAGCAGACAAAATACCAACACTTTGCAGTGTAATGTGGGCCAGTACAACCACAACAACACAAACTATGATTCCAAAACAGTGCACGTTGCAGGGCTGTTGTACTGGCCTGCGTTATGCTGACTAAATATTTGCTTACTACATGCCACAGCAGTGAGAAAATTGAAGAGTTACTTCCTGGTATAGTGTGTGAACAAATCATTAACTACATCAGCAAAATAGTTGTGAGATTTTCTTTCTCACCACTAGAACATAAACACAGACGTACACTCACATGTTAAGCTATGTGTTATCATTTAGCTCAAGCTGTGGTTTCAGTGCCTCTGTAAAAACTTACAGAACTGATATAGCTTGGCTGTAGACTCATAGTTTTGTTTTGCATTCAAACAACTGCAGAACTGCATAGAAACACACAGTGCAACAATAAATGCTGGCAACTAACTTACAGAGCAGTTTGCAGTGGAAGTTTTTTCAAATTAGCTTAAGTAAATAGGATAAAGCATGAAAAACACCTGCATACTTCTTATTACAACAAATGCAAAAATGTAAAACTACACCTTTCTAGACTGATGTATTTCACAGGGAATTAGACTTTTGCTGTTTGCCTCTGCTCATGCAGAATACAGTAAAACAATGTTCCTCTATTTGTTCAAAGTATTGTAACAGAAGCTGTATCTATAAACAGATCATATCTTTGCATAGGCTTCTGATTACCTCGATAACACAACTAAATGTTTTCAATGCAAATATCACAAACAAACAAAAGATGCAAATGCTTCCTACCGAGCTGATGATGTTGTAACGTGAGTGTGGCATCACTGCCTTCACCTACAATGGTTGCCACAGTGATCTTCCTCATTGCGAGGTTACAGTGATGCTTCTCAACTTCCTCTTTCTGTTGGACATACAGTGTTGTATCTCTGCTGGGCGTTGAGATCAGCTAGTACCAGGAAATGACACAAATAGGTTCATTACTCAGACTGGGTGGTAGGATGGTGCTGATCAAAGATAGATACATATTTAAAGTTCATTGTTTTGCATGCATTTATAATGTTGATGCTACTGTACAACAGGGTTAGGGGTAAAAGACAAAGTGCAAAAATTGCATATTCTCACCATCAACCTTCTGGTCCCCTTTAGACTGTCCAAAAAATCCTTCAAGGCTGTTGTATCCTCCTCACTGACCTCTCTATTGGACTTTTTCCCACTTCCTTTCCTTTTCTTCCCTTTCTTCCCTTTGCCTTTTTTCTTAGAGCTCTGTTTTTCCTGCATGTCATCCTTTACATTCTCCTCTTTTTTATCTTCACTGTTTTGCCCTCCTTGTCTTTTCTTTCCTTCTTCTACAATGGAGTCAGGCCTGCAATAGAACACAAAAAAGTTACTTTGATGGTCTTCCAGTACTAATAAAAAGCGTCTCTGTGTTGTAAGTGGATGAGGAGGTATGACATACTGGATGGGAACACAAAATATATGCAGTTCCCTTTACTTTGAAATTTTCACAAAGAAACAGCACCTGTCTTTTTTTGCTTCTTCATTGCTCCTTGACGCAGATGGAGGACTGTCCACTTTCTTTTTTTCCTGTCCGTCAGAAGTGGCCCATCCACCCCTACTTGAATCCTTTCCCCCTGTGGAGCCCACAGCAGGCATTTTGCGGATAACAAACCTCGAACGTCCACTAAGTATATCTTGGATCTTACTCTTCAGGGCAGCTTTTTTGTCCAGTGGAGGTTTTCTTTGTAATGCAACAGCAGAAGTATAATTTCCTCGCCTCTGAGGACTCAGCACCATCTTCTTCTTCACCTTTTTCCTTTTCAGCACAACCTTCTTTTTAGTGGTTTTACACCTGCGTAATACACATCAAACAGCATGTCTCTCAGAGGATTTGTGTTGAGTGTAAATGCCGTGACGTTTCCGAGAATTACAAGAAATATTTTAACTAAATTCACATTTCACTTTTATAACACATAATAATATCTTATCTGTAGCTGTGACAAATATTATTCTTTGCACACATTGAAGCAACATTCTAAATATTAAAATATGAGCAGTTTTAACAATTGGGTATAAACACAAAGTTCTATAATGCCCCAAGTTCAGTTTCTTAGTTGCCAATTTTGCACAGTTTGTACTAGAGTCTAAAGCCATGCTACTTAGTCTGCTAACATCTGCATGATAACATGCTCACATTGACACTACTACATACTATTTGATATGTTATATGCCAGTTTGCCAGTTAGCGCAAAACAAATAAATCAGCTGAGACCAATGAGACCATCATTAGTTTTTCCGGTTATTTTGTAATACACCGCTCTTTAGTCCCTCTTTAATTCAGTGAAAGGCACAGTAGTAAAATGAAACCTCAAGTTGGATCCTTTTCTGGTCATCTTCTCCAACTGCCTCATGGGGAACTGGTCTATGACTTCCAAAATTGCTTCAACACGCACCGGATAGGGAAACTGCTCACTGACTAGAAGGTTCTTCTTCACAACCAACATAGTAAACCCTTGATCCTGAAACAGTTGGTGAAGAGCAAAAAGTACAAGTCAAGAACAGGGAAACCATGAAGGAAAAAAAAAAAAAATTGTTTTTTTTTTTGTTTGTTTATTTTGTATAAAATGATCTGAAATAGATAGTACCTTATTTTTGTCTTGCCAAGAGACAAAAATAAATTAAAGTGGTCACCTGGCTTGTTAGATCCAGGTAGTGCAACAGTTTTATAACTATGTCAGGGTCCAGGTTCTCTACTGTGGCATCTCCTTGCAAAGTTGTTTTCTGAATCCGACCTTCCATCATGGCATTCTGGATGATGATGATGATGAAGGTGTCTCTTTCTGCTAGGTGACAGTTCAGCCCTTTCTGAGAAAGACAGGAAGAGAAACAAAAAGAAAAAAGTCATTGAAGATGTAAGAGATAAACAGTGGATACTTGTTTTAAGCTAAATTGCATATTGCTATTTCTAAACATCTAATCTTATCTGAAATCTTATCCCTTAAGTCAATATGGTGTAGATACCAAAATCTTAGTACAGTACCTGCTCTGTGTCTTCCAGCTGTTTCTCCATCAAACGAAGGTAATGGTCATTGTGCGATGGGGCTGTGATCACCCAGAGCCGCTTTTTGCCTGGAGAGGAGAAAGGGGTTGTGAGTAGTAGACACACATACATTAGCTGAGTAGTTCATTTTCCTTGCCTGCAAAATCAGCTAAGAAATCCAGCTCCGGAGCCAGGCTGGGTGACTTTCCATGTCCTCTGTTGTCTCCATGTTCTGTGTCTTCATCCAAACCCAGTCCCTGCTCAATTCCTGGAGGGAGGTCAGAATAGTCTCCCCAGTCCCTTACGTTAGGGTCCAACTGCTCTTTGGGCTTGCTTCGACCGATATCTGGCCAGGCAGTAAGCAAACTCAGGTAGCTGAGGCTCCACAGAGTAGCAAACAACAGCAGATGCAAGTGTGAGGTATAGAAATTAGGCATCCTTACTGACACGGCTGGACCTGGCTAGCAGCTCACAGATCCTCGTCTGGAAAAATATACATTTGTGTAGTAGGGCTGTTTTCACCACTGCTTCTCTTTAGGCAGCAGCGTTGCATCTGTAACAGACAAAATGGATTCACCAGCTCTTTAAAAGCGATTTCAGAGTTTGAAACACTCACAAAACTTCCAGCCGAGTAATGCCTATACTTTGAATCCTAATTCAAAACCCCACTGAAGGCTGAAGCATTCTCTATGTTTAAAAAAACAGGTGGAGCAAATCTGGAATGCATCTCTAATGGAAGAGAAAAGACTACAGTGATGGTAACTTCTCACTCCAGTAAAGAGATACTGACTGCACAAGCACATGCTCCTGGTTCACATTACACCCCAGGCTTGTTAACAGGAAACCCCTGGAATTTTCTGTGACTTCAAAGCATTTTCATGCTGAAAAGTCTCCCTCACTCCATCTCTCTCTCTCTCTTACCCTCTCTTTCTGTCTCTGCCTCTCTCTCTTCCTGTCTTTCTCCACATTTTGAGTGTGTGTGTGTGTGTGTCGGGGGGCTGCCTGTGGGTGGGTGGCTGTTCTTCATCAAGAGAAAAAACTTACTCACATACAGAATATCAGGTACTGTATATGCAGATAGAATGGTTGCATGAGGGCAATTGATCTGATTGATTTGAGCATCCATGAACAATCTATCAGAGACTGATACATACCTGAATGTTATTAATCACAACTGTTGCAGACTGTCACACACACGGAGGATGAAAAAACAAAGAAAGGGGTTGGAAAGAGAAGAGCATTGAGAGAATGAGGGAGTAAAATGTGAGCTTGGAGGCAGAGCAGTTCAGCCTAAAGCCATCAGTTCAGCAGAGGTTAGAGCTTTTAAATGAAGGGTAATAGCAGAAATCATAAATAAACCTGACAGGCTAAGAGAGGCCACAATCTAGAAAGGTTCACACTAGTTCAAAGCTGTAAATCTGAGGCAAATGTGCCCACTGGGGAGTTAGACTGAGCATAGGTGATCTCCTCCAGCAAGGCCAATATATAATTGTTACTCCAAATAGCCTCAAGCTGCCCACAAACCTGGACAAAATGAGCATGTACGTTATGCACAGGCTGATTATGATTAAGTTGATAGTAGGAATAATTGTTGTAATAGTTGCGATGGAAATAATTTCAGCTTGAAGCCATTCAACATACTTTGAAACACTAAAATGTCCAAAATCTGCTGTTTTCTATGTCTGTAAAAGACAAATCTGTTATAAAGGAGGGGGAAAATTAAACCTAACTAAACCTAAGCTGACTAACATCTGTATTCACATTACATTTTGAATTCAGCAGAATTTTTATTGACCAGACATTTGAATTGACTTGAATTTATAATTAAATGGATGAATTAATATAAAGTGGCATGATGTAAAGCACCGATGAAAACTACATTAAACTAAGAAATGTCCTCCCACCTACTTCCTGAACTCAAAATTCTATATATGTTAGTTAAATGTATAGTTTTAATGTCAATGAAAAGAAAAGGAAGTGGAAAGAAAGAATATGGGAGAAAATCAAAGATGTGTAAGCAAAGTCAGTGACTTCAAAAGAGGTGTTTTTAGTATGAAATGCTGAAATGAGAACCAGGTGTAGCAGCAAGCATTGTACTCTCTGAGCCTGATAAAGAGAACCAGATGATCAGTGCACGTGTGAAGGAACATATTCATACAGTACTGTAAGTGAATGGACTTGCAGGTACAGAGTGGAAAGATGTGCTGAATATAAGAGGAATAAAAACAGACAAAGGGATTGTTCCTCTGTATGAGTGTTACAGGCAGCAAAATCACACAAAAAAAACTTAGCCTGAAATGAATGAATAAATATGTTTTATTTCTAAACAGCCAGCCAAAAGTCAAGAATTAAGCACTGCAACATAATAGTGAAATAGTATTTTATAGTGCTGCACAATTCATATTTAATTTATATCACAAAATTCATCATAACTGATTTCACAGTAGGTCTATTGTACATAGGAGTTAAGAAATTGATGACTTAAAATGTTAAAACAGTGCCTCTCAATGGAAGAGTACAGAGCTGCAGCTACAGTTGTGATTCCTCTATTTTTAACATAGTAAATATATAAATGTGCTCAATTATACATTTCTTTATCAGTGTGCATGCAGTTGTATGTTGTCTATCTAGAAATCTGTTTATGCATATGCATCCAACTAAACATATTAACATAAAAAAACTAAATTAAGCCTTAAACAAGCAAATCGGATTACACTATACTATTTTATAGTATCACACTATAAACTCTGAACAATTATGTTAGTCTTAGTTAATAAGATGCTGGTATAACTTTCATAAACTACATTAAGTCATTATTTATTGCTTTTCATGTCCTATTAGTGAGAGCATGTCAGAAGTTAGCAGATGTCCTCTGATGCATCACGTGATCGCCAAACGTCTTCCGGGTCGACACAAAGTTCGCCTGTGCTGCATAGAGCCGGCTCTGTCTGCAAAGGTCAGTCGAGTTATCTGCCGCTGAATTTGACACTGTCCGGTTTCACCGTGCATTTGCTTGGGTATGCGCGTTTTTGCGTGTGTACGGGGCCTTTTGAGTCATACATCACCTTCATACACGAAACGAAACGAAACGGGCGTGAATGAGCTGGCAGCTAGCGCTAGCTATCCCACATCCGCTTTCACAACCGCCCGCTAGAATTTGCAGGGGGCGCAGACAAAAAGATAAGTGGCCGCATGGAGGACAATATGTTTATGTCTGAGTGGCAGAGACACGGTACTGGTCAGCCAACAGCACATTTAGTCCACGTTTTTACTCTCCAGGTTCTCTGAATGACACACTGTGAAAAAAAATAGTATGGAAGCTACTGATTCAAGAAAAACTGATTATTGGCTACTTATTGGCTTATAAAAACCAATAACACCGTTACGTTTTACAAGAGCTGCTCCAGTCCTGAGCTGGGTTTGCTCCGGGTTTGTGGTTTGTGATCATTTATGTTGGGGGATACTTTTTAAGGTTGTAACTAACACTTTATTATCAGTTAAGATGATTATGTGTAGTGCATTTTAGCCACATTATTTACAGCCCAAAGGTATTTAATTTACAATGATATTTTTTGCTTGATAATTTACTTAAATGATTAATATATTGTCAGAAATGTATGCCCATGGTGTGTGCAGTTTTTTGTTTATTATGCTGCCTTCATACCTGAAACAGATGTGAAGAAACGTGGATTTACTACTACAGTCACAGTGTGCTGCAGTTTAAAGAAGTGACTGAGGAGTTTGTTAATGTTTAAATGTGTAAATGGCCATTTAAAAGAAAAACTTTCCAAAATGATCCTTGCAGATAAAAATCTGCTGGTGCCCCTGTCTCTTGTGTCTTTTCCACAGGAGGGGTGCTGTCTGTCCTGTTGAGCTCCTCCTTGCGTTTGTGTCAAGTGTGTGCACCATGGCGAGCCTCCTACGCATTGTGGTGTCCAGCTGCTCAGCCCCTGTGCTCGGTGGCGTTTCCTGCATGAAACTGCATAGTGGCCGTGCTATTAAATCATCATGCATGCGGTTTTTCAGGACTCACCAAGCTCTTCGACAATGTGCCAGTCCAGGTAAGTGGCTACTGCTAGTGATTTTTACAGACGCATACGTAATAGAATGCTTTACAGAAAGCATTAAATGCTATAGTCACAAAAAATACTAGTTAAACATTTTGTTTTCAAATGGTCAGTGCAGTTTTTATGTAATTACAGTTAAGACAGTACATGCAAAACAGGTAAAAACCTTTTTTTATTGTAAAAGGATCAGTCCGACTTAGTAGAAAGCAAGACATTTGTTGTGATGAAGTATTACCTAGAGGTTTGAATATAAATACTAATGAATGCTCTCCACTCAGGTCACATGGTCTTCCAAACTCCTGTGTCAAAAGGCCCATAAAATTAGCCAAGGCTACTACCATGTATACTCTTTTTAGCTACATGTCACACTAGCCACAAATACAACCAGCAGGTTTACTGCTAACTAATGATGTTGACTCAGTGTGGGCAGGATACCCCACTTCTACCAGTCAGCAAATTATTCTTAGGCTTGATCATTTCTAACCTTGATGCGAGTTCCTATGCAGTGCTATGAATTTGCTTTAAATTTTTAAGTAGCAAATACGGTATCAAATCAAATCAAATCAAATTTGATTTGTATAGCGCCAAATCACAACAAAAGTCATCTCAGGACACTTTACAAAGTAAGGTCTAGACCTTACTGTTATCAATATTATTACATAGGGAAAACCCAACAAATCCCCCTTGAGCAAGCACTTGGCGACAGTGGGGAGGAAAAACTCCCTTT